TAGCCACTTGAAGTTGCCCTGTACTCAACAACAATAAGAGCAAATGCAGTATCAGTACACAACCACAGTGTACTGTAGTATCACGCGGCTATCCCACTAGTGCAACATAAATAAGTCAAGACAACAATATAATCACTTGCATATATATCAACATATACAATAATATCAACATTTACGAACAACGATCAGTTTCACATTTTATATCACATCATTCGTTCTCTCATGGAACCCAAACCCAAATAATTAGCATACCGAAACGTGGTACCCGATCCCATAATTATGCCAGAACGTGGCAACCGATCCCAAACGATCCAAGTTAGTTATGCCGAAATGTGGCAACCGATCCATTCAACACACCACAATCACAAACACAAGTATATCCTCAAGATCATACATTTAAGTCATGATTTCATGGAAATGATAATTCATCTATCTCATGTACAACAAGTGTGATCAACATTGCAAGATTCCTACATATACAAGTATCATAATGAAGCAAGAACAAACATACATCACACAATCATAGAATCGCAACCATCACCAATCTTTAATCAAGCTTGAAACCCTAAGAATCTTGATCCTTCCCTTTCCGGATTCGTTCCGCTTGTTCTTGGTCTACAAACAATCACAATAACACTGGAATCAACAGACAATCGCTAATTACCCAAAATTGTAATAATTCCATGAACCCTAGATCAAACCCATGATCCCAATTATCCAATTTAGGGTTGTTTTCACCATAGAATCTATAGAAAAACCCTCCCCCATTATTTGACCCATTCTATTATGTTCTATGGATCGAAAAATGGATTCGGGGAGTGAAAAGCTTACCTTTAGCCTCAAGAATGGTGAAAAACGAGTAGGAGTTGCCTATGTTTCGTTCCTTAGCTCTAAAACTCAAAAAGTGCATAATGAGGCGCTTAGGGGTTTATTAACGACTTTAATTCGTGTCGATCCTGCCATAACGGCACCCACCCCGCTTCAGCGGCCCCGCCAGAGCGGTAAAACCCAGTGCCAAAGCGACATTCACGAACCAGCGAACTATTTAAAGAATTCCAAGACTCCCATTTCACAATACACCTCTAACCCACGAGGCTCAGAAAGTACCCTTTACGCTAAGATCGATTCTCGGAGTTCTACTCGCCCGAATTCAAATCTGTAAAGTCACACGGGTTCTTTAACGAGTTATCTAACTACTCATGTAATCAAAATCAAAATCAACTCACCCGATTGCCACCAGATTTTTGTACACCTTAAAGACTCCAATTTCATCCAAATCTGGAATAGGTTGGGAAATTTCAAGATACTACGAAAAAGTTTTCCGACCCAAATTTTTTCCTTGTTGGCTTTTCTATAACGATGGAACCTAGTCGTTATAATATGTCATTACAAAAATATAATCACATGCATATATCGAACATGTACAATATTATCAACATCTACGAACAAGGTACAATTTCACATTTCTCAATATACACAATTATAGCAAATCATTGGTCCTCTCATGGAACCCAAACCCAAATAGTTAGCATACCAGAACATGGTATCTGATCCAATATTTATGTGGGAACATGGAAACCGATCCCATAATTATACCGAAACGTGGAAACCGATCCAAGTTAGTGTGTCGAAACGCAACACGCGATCCATTCAACAAGCCACAATCACAATCAAAAGTATATTCTCAAGATCATACTGTTAAGTCATAATTCATGGCATTCATCATTCGTCTATCTCATTTACAACAAGTGTGATCAATAATGTAACATTCACATACATACATGTATCATAATGAAGCAAGAACAAACACACATCACACAATCATAGAATAACAACCATCACCTATCTCGAAACAAGTTTGAAACCATAATAAACTTGTTCCTTCCCTTTCCGGATTCGTCTCGCTTGTTGTTGGTCCACAAACAATCAATATAATATGGGCATCAATAAACAATCACTAATTTCCCAAATTACTAATAATACAATGAACCCTAGATCAAACCCATGATCCCAAGTATCCAAACTAGGGTTTTTTCCACCATAGTTTCTAAATCAAAACCCTCCCTCATCGATAATTACACATTTGATTACGTTCTACGGATCGAAAAATGGATTCGGGGAGTGAAAAACTTACTTTTAGCCTCAATAATGGTGGAAATCTGTCAAGAATCGTCTAGGGTTCGTTCCTTAGCTCTAAAAGCCGAAAACTGCAGAATAAAGATGTTTTGGGGTTTATTTATGACTTTAAGTAGCATCTGGCCCGCCACAGCGGCATCCACACCGCTACAGCGGCCCCGCTAGAGCGACCAAAAGCATCGCCAAAGCGGCTTGCACGAAATAGTGAGCTATTTTAATAATTCCAAGACCCCCATTTCACAACACACCTTTAACCAATGACGCTTAGAAAATACCATTCACGCTAAGATCTATTCCGGTAGTTTTACTCACCCGAATTCAGTTTTGTAAAGTTGTACGGGTTCCTTAATGACTTATCTAACTACTCATGAAATTAAAATCATAAATAATACACTCGATTGTTACCAGATTTCCCTACACCTTAATGATTCCGATTTCGCCCAAATCTGGACTAGGTTGGGAAATTCCAAGATACTACGAAAAAGTTTTTCGACCCAAAAATTTTTCCCGTTGGCTTTCCTATAATGACAGAACCCGGTCGTTACAATATGTACCCTATGGGGAGCAAATTGCAATCTACTATTTGTCCATGCCTACATAAATTTCAAAAAAGGAGACATGCATTAATATCAAGATTTATTTTTATATTTTGATAAACTAAAAAACATACTTACCCTTTGATGGGTTAAACATCTTGTAAGAATTAAAACTAGTTGAGACTTAATAATTAAAAACTAAATTAAAAACTTACCATCAGGACATCTCCTGCTAAAACAAAATAGGATGGTGAAGTATTGAGCTCAATCCATTCTCCATTTTTGTTGAGCACTTGCAATCCAATTTGTTCTTGTTTAATTATGTATTAGTAGACACTATCTGTGTCGGCAGGTAATTCTGGTATATCCCCATCTTTACCTTTGTTTGCCTTATAATTTGTAAATCTTGACAAAAATATATTAGAATCCAAGAATTCATCAATATAATGTTTTAACCGAAGAGTCTCAAAAATCATTTTTCTCACCATTTCATCTGATTCCATAAGTGGCTTGTAGAAGGAGTTTGCTTCATTGCTACCAAATTAAACATACAAAATTTGTAGAAATAGTAATTGTGATACTACTTATAATTGATTATATGAATCCTCATTAAGGATGACATATGTTGTTTCATTTGAGCTCCTATACTATTCCAATGCTATACAAAATAAAAAAATAACAAAATAAAAAATACAAATTGTAAGTAGCAAAGTAGAACTAAAGTTTTAACTACAAATTCAATAAAATCCAGTACATTGATCAAAATTATGTAAGAAATGTACTTAATATGTATAAACAATTTATGTAGAACTCCATATGCTATATTTATCTTTAGCGGTGAAATGAATAGAATCTCTATAGCCTTAAGTCTTAACTAGAGGACTTCAACTCTAGCCCCAAGAATAAAAACAATTTTGGTGGGGAAAGTTACTCTCTTTAATGAGCCTTACACATTATTATTCCTTATTAATTAGTTAGAGTGCCAAAATAAATACCGAAGAATGCATGATAAGAAAAGCTTCCATGCAAATATAGGAGCGAGAATGATTGGCAAACCAAAATGACTACAACTCAATTCCAGCTAAATCCTAGCGCCTGCGCGCATGACTTTTATCATATCAAACATATTATAATTAAAATTAAAAAAAGTTAGGCAAACCAAAAGTTAGGATTTCCATTAGACCAAAAGGTATTGGCAAAAGTTTCAACACTATTTGGAAGGAGCAAATCAGCAGATCTAACATTACCATAAATTGGGTACAGTTGGAAATTTCCCTTCATAGATATGATAGGGTTTCTCTCTATATTCTATCAATTTGGATATTGGTAATTCAAATATTTCTTTTAAAGTACCAAACATGGCATCTCTAATTTCATTTGGAACTTTATCATATATTGCTTCAAAATAACCATATTCTTTTAAGGCTTCAAAAACTTGCACTCTTATGGATTCCCATTGTGGAGTGTTTGGTTTTAGCTCTAGATTGAAAAAATCTATGGTGGGAATTTTAATTTTTGTATGCCATTGATAACTAAATTTTAAAGAGAGGAAATAGAAAGAAACTAAGAAGGAGAAAGACTTTATAATGTGAAAATTAAAGAGGGAATATAAGGAGTATATATAGAAACAAATAAATTAACCTTGGTTTGAAAATTCATTATTATAGTCCTCCCAATTTATTTTTTTCTTGGACGTGAGTTCTAGATTCTATACATTAATTAATCGTATAAAGTTATAATTTATGAGTAATAATACTTTACAGAGTTGCAAATCCATATATATATATATATATATATATATATGTAATAGGAGAGGGAAAAAGTATCACATGTCAGAACCACAAAATTCAACAATTTTCAAATTTAAAAAATAAATTTAAAAATCTTTTAAAGATATATCTTAAATTAAACAAAAAGAAATTAAAAAAAGAGTAACCAACTATTTTAAAATTTCCTATTTTGAGAAGAAGAAGAAGAAGAAGAAGAAGAAATAAAGCTGGTGGTGACACCTAAGAGGAGGGAGAATACATATATGAGAATTATAAAGGGGAAAGAGGTATATCAGGGGAAGGAAGCAATGGAACAGTGGCCGCCTATGGAACAGTGGCCGAGAAGAAGAAGAAGAAGAAGAAATAAAGCTGGTGGTGACACCTAAGAGGAGGGAGAATACATATATGGGAATTATAAAGGGGAAAGAGGTATATCAGGGGAAGGAAGCAATGGAACAGTGGCCGAGAAAAAGAAGAAGAAGAAGAAGAAGAAGAGGAAGAAGAAGAAGAAGAAGAAATAAAGCTGGTGGTGACACCTAAGAGGAGGGAGAATACATATATGGGAATTATAAAGGGGAAAGAGGTATATCAGGGGAAGGAAGCAATGGAACAGTGGCCGCCTATGGAACAGTGGCCGCCTCTTCCTACGAAGGTGAAAACCCCTACTAGTGGGAATAACAAGCCAGCAGACACTTTGGGGAGTAACAACCAAGCAGAAATGAGTGAGAAATCACCAGATGAGCTGCAAAAAAGTGAGATAAGAGGAGATGCACAGAGGAAGTTAGACATGAATGCTGAACCAATAAAGAAGTGGGCGATTTTTTTAAAATTCAAATAGGATGTCAGCTAAAGGAATGAGTCTAAATTATGTCAATCCTGTTATGAGGAATGGGGAACAGGTCATTGAATTGAAGAAAGAAGAAATTGATAAAGCAACTACAGAATGGAAACAAGATCTTATCCTCTATGTGGTTGGGGAATCTCCAACAATAGCTGCAATTGAGAGGTACATTGCAATGCAGGTGAATACAGTAGTAAACCTAAGGTGTATTATCACAATGATGGGTACTCTTAGTTAGATTTGCTAGCTTGGATGATAGGAATGGAGTTTTGTATTCAGGTCCTCATATGCTTAATAATAAGCCTATCATAGTTAAAGTTTGGAGTGCTGATTTTAACTTTAATAAAGAGGTTTCGCAAACAGTTCCAATATGGGTGAAGTATCCCAATTTGCCGTTGAATTGCTGGAGCATGGATTTGCTAAGTAGAATTAGTAGTGGATTAGGGGTTCCATTGTATGCTGATGAATGCACTACTAAGGTTGATAGGATATCGTTTGCAAGAGTGCTAGTTGAAATGGAAGTAGCAAGGGATTTGCCAAAGAAGCTCAAAGTAGAGGACCCGAATGGGAGAGCATTTGAACAAGAAGTACAATATGAGTGGATTCCAGAATATTGTTCTAAGTGTATGCAGGTGGGACATAAGTGTGCTACGAAAGAGGGGACTCGTTACAAAACAGCTCCTAAGGTTGTGAACAAGTGGATTTCGAAACAGGACATAAATAGAGTGGCAGAAGGAACACAAGTAACAAATGGAGAAAAGGCTAAAGGAAAGATGAAAGTAAGCAAATGGAGAAAAGGCTAAAGGAAAGATGAAAGTAAGTGTGGAGGCAAAAGTATGGCAACAAGTCCCTCCAAGAGCTAGATGAGGCACAAGTGTTAATAATGCATCACAACTTAGGGTAACAAATGTCTTTGGATCTTTGGAACATGGATTGACAAGTGCTTTGGAGGGAATTGAAATAGGAGCAGATGAGGATGGGGGAAATCAGCCTAAAAGAATTACATGAATTTCGTCACTTGGAATACAAGGGGAATAAATAAACTTCATAAGCAAAAAGAAATTAAATTGTTTATGAAGGAGAATAAAGTAGGAATTATAGCACTATTAGAACATAAAATAAAGGAGCATAAGGCAGGAAAAGTTATACAAAAAATAGCTCAAGGTTGGAAATGGGAAGCAAACTATGAACACACTGATAAAGGGAGAATGTGGCTACTGTGGAACCCTCAAGTGATTGAATGTGTGATTTTGAGCAAATCAGATCAGTATATACAGAGCAGGGTGATAGTGAAAAGGACTAGCATGGTATTTTGTTTGGTGGCCATTTATAGATTACACACAATTCATGATAGGCTACAACTATGGGAAGAGTTGGGAATGATGGTATCCAGTACACAAGAATCATTGATATGTATGGGGGACTTTAATATAGTGTTAACGGGGCTAGAAAGAATACATGGCAATCCAGTTCAAGAGATGGAAATAAAGGACTTCAATGATTTCATGGTTGATGTTGGTATGACAGAACGGAAGGCAATAGGAAGAGGGTATACCTGGTCAAATAGGTGTATATGTAGTAAAATTGATCGTGCAGTGGTGAATGCTGAGTGGATGTTAATTATGCGATAGAGAGAAATTATTATTATGCTGCCAGGCACTTCTGATCAATATCCACTGAGCCTGGAGTTAGACAGTAATGAAAGAGTCAATCATAGGGCCTTTAAATCTTCAATTGTATTGCTAATCATCATGAGTTCTTACATAGAGTGAAGGAAGCATGGAGAGGTGGAAAAAACATGGATTTGAAGGAAGTATGGCATAAACTTAAGAAGGTGAAAGAAAGCATTAAACATCTCAATAGTAGAGAGTTTATTGGGGTAAGAAGCAAGTTGCAAGACATTAGAGGAAAGCTGCATACTATACAAGAGAAAATGACAGATCCAGAAGAAGTTGCTCCAAATAGACAATAGGAAAAAGAGCTCCATGTTCAGCTTGAGAAATGGAGTATGATCGAAGAGAGTGTTATGCAGCAGAAATCCAGAATTCAATGGCTAAGGCTAGGGGATGCAAATTCTGCATATTTCTATGCACACATGAAGAATAGGGTGGCCCAAAACACTATCACAAGGCTCTTGACATCGGACGGCATCATAGCACAGACACAAGAAGAAATAGAGCTTGAGGTGAGTACATTCTATAAAAACCTGCTAGGGAAGGCTGCTCAGGAATTGCCTAGTGTGAATGCTGTGATTATGAGAAATGGTAAGTCTCTTAATAGAGAACAACAAATGTTCCTAGCAGCTAAGGTGACAAGGGAGGAAATGGAAATTGCACTCAAAGGCATACATGATTTGAAAGCTCCAGGGATTGATGGCTTCAATGCTTTCTTTTTTAAGAAGGCCTGGACAGTAATAGGAGAAGACATAGTGAATGCACTGTTAAATTTCTTTGATACAGGGCACATGTATGTGCCCATTAACTATACAGTGGTGACCCTTATTCCCAAGATTGCTAATCCTACTAAAGTTGGGGAGTACAGGCCTATCTCATGCTGCACAACTCTATACAAGATTGTTTCCAAAGTAATAACCACAAGGTTGCAGAAGGTGATGAGCTCACTAGTAGATCCTAATCAATTAGCTTTTGGCCAGGAAGAGCTATAAATGACAATATTATTTTGAGTAATGAATTAGTGAAGGGGTATAATAGAAAAGGCATCTCCAATAGATGTATGATTAAGGTGGACATGAAAAAAGCATATGACTCAATTGAATGGAGGTTTTTGGAGCAAGTTGTATATGAATTGAAGTTCCCAACAAGAGTGATCAAGTGGATATTGCAATGTGTTACTACAGTTACCTATTCAATTCAGGTCAATGGGCAATATACAAGACCATTCAAAGCAAAAAGAGGGGTCAGGCAAGGGGATCCCTTATCCCCCTTTCTATTTGTACTGGCTATGGATTATCTCACCAGGAACTTTACAAGTTTACATTCAAATCCATATTTCCATTGTCATCCAAGATGTCAGGAACAGAGAATCATCCAATTGAGTTTTGTTGATGATTTGCTGATATTTTGTAGGGGTGATAGCAAGTAAGTTAGAAGCCTATAAAAATATTTCATGGATTTTTATAATGCAACAGGGTTGGTGGCAACTGAGGACAAAAGCAGTGTGTACTTTGGAGGGGTAAAATAGGCAATTTAGGATCAAATAATGCAGGAACTAAAATTTGTGAAAGGTGAACTCCCATTCAGATACTTGGGAGCACCTTTGAGTACTAAAAGAGTATCTATAGTTCAGTGTAAACCTCTAATTGATAAAATGTTGAGTAGAGTTACTTGTTGGACCACTAAATTCCTCTCTTATGCTGGTAGAGCTCAATTGGTGAAGAATGTCCTATTCTCTATACAAACTTTTTGGGCACAAATATTTGCTCTTCCTAAAAAGATTTTACATGATATTGAGAGTATCTGTAGGAAGTTCTTGTGGACAGGAAATGTGGAGGCATCAAAGAAAACATTGATAGCCTGGGAACAACTATGCTTGCCCAAAGCAAATGGAGGTATGAATTTTCTTGATGTGTTCACCTGGAATAATGCTGCAATAGGAAAACTCCTGGAATCTATGTAAGAAGAAGGATGAGCTATGGGTGGAATGGATACATAGTTATTATGGGAAGGAAGGAATATGGGGCATACAAACAAAACAAGCATCTTGGCTTGTATAATGTATTCTTAAAGCATATAAACATTTAGAAGCTGCTGGATGCAATGAACAAAGTTTGAGTCAGATGGAGCACTATTCTATTAAAAAGATGTATGGACAGATGAAAGGAAATAGGGAGAAAGTTGAATGGAGAAGATTGATATGGTCAAATTATGGTGCACCAAAATGGCTTTTCATATTATACATAGCACTGAATAGATGACTTGCAACAAAGGACAGAATGGCAAAGTGGGGAGTAACAAAAAACTTGACATGTCCCTTATGTCAAGAGGAAGATGAGAATATAGAGCATCTTTTTTTCACCTGTAAGTTCATTGCTGGAATATGGAACAAGCTACTGGCATGGCAAGGCGTACAACACACAGGAATGAAGTGGCATGAAGAAGTACAATGGGCAATTAAGTATATGAAAGGAAGAAATAGCATAGCACAAGTATACAGGATGTGTCTAGCAGGTACCATTTATCATGTGTGGATAGAACGTAACTGCAGAATCTTTCAAACCAAGCAGAGAAGTGAGGAATTCATGATTAGGCATATCATTAGAGAAATACATGGAATAGGATCCCAACAGTGGAGGATAGGAAATAGACTACAACAACTTAATAATTATCCCTAGTATAGTAGTTGAGACAGTAGATTCGTAGAGATAGATTAGCAAGTCTTGGAGCAAGATTGTCCAAGTATGTTGTTTTTAACTGTTATGTAATGATCACTTTGGTAAATAAAATGTTTACTTACCAAAAAAATGATCCATGGCAGGTAATGTCCAGATATCTGGATACAGTTTGTTATACTACGACTGTTTATAAATACAGAATGAACTATGAGATGATACTCTGAGCTACAGGGTCAGGGGAATTTCAACATTTCTACCCCGCAAATACAAGAAAAGTTTATAACTTTTCCAAAATTATAATAAAAAAGATTTTAAGTCCTGAAGAATGGGGAATGAGCCCCTTAAAAGAAATGGATTATATCCATCCTGAGCAAAAGGTCGCAGTAAAATACAATTACTGGATTATGTTGACAGCTTTAATAAAGCCTTGTTATACGAGAATGCTAATACAAAGCATTCATGGTTCATAAAGATTTGTTCTAATGTATTTGGCAGGCAAATTCCAAATTGGTTTTGCAAATGGTGGACTTTATATGGTCCTTCGTTAAAAATTCTACCAGAACAATAAAAGAAATTATATTCTGAATGGATAGATATATCCTCTAAGCTTATAAGTTTGCAAAAAGACAATATTTTCTTTGAAGGAATGTCATTAATGTATTTCATTATAGAGTTCTCAATCCCATGGATTATGAAATGGTCCGTAGAAGTTGATAATACTTATGAAGGGTTCCCGTGTCTACAAAGAACATTCTATACAAAGTTCTAGAACAAATTGGTACACAAAGACCTTGAAGGCGAAATTCAATTATATCCAAATTAGAAGCTATAGCCATGTAATTGGAGAGGTACTGTTCTTCTTTTATTTATTTCTTTATGTACTTAGCCTAAATGATAGGCTAAACTATTTGTGTTGAGCTATAACATACTAAGTTACTAAAAGATATGACGTTTGTGTCTATTATGAAGACAGTTTGAACAGCTAGACTAAGGTCAGATGTAAGTTATCCCGGCAGGTTAGTGAAAGGTTATGAAAGGCTGCCGAAGGAATCCGTTGGATTACCTGTTGGCCAAGGAAGGCGCAGGGCGGACCCGGATAGTAAGGGATTTCATCAGCTTTCATTAACTATTGCCAGGACTACTTATGTCAGTAAAGGTCCCTTATGGTTTGGCTGAACAATCCGTTATTCATTTGGTATTAGAATAATGGACTTATAGTAGCTATAGGTGGTATATTTCAACACATTATTTTCTTATGAATATCATAAAGAAGAAATCTACTATTAAAAAATAGTAGAAAAAAGGAATATGGTATACCGCAACATCTTGATTTACTTAATAAGTGGACTATTCCTAAAATATCGCCTAGAATCATATATCATATGGGAACTTTTGAGAAGCTTGGTCTCAAACAGGTGGTTAAAATCACAGAGGAAACTATTGCTATTGATAGTGATCATCAGACTTTTACATTATTATCTGAAAATGATTTGGCCCCTTGTAGGATATTTACCGATTCATGCATATTGGTTTAGTCCCTTACCTTGCGTGGTTTACCTGAAAGCTTTATAGCAGCTTTAAGAGATGGTAGAAATCGTAATTGGAAGAAATCTCTTATAGGGACTATACAAACTAGTCTTGCTTACGGACTAGTTTATTTTAATGCTTATCCTAATTTGTAGATTTCTTAACAAGATGAGAACTCATTAAGTTCTCTCATGTTAAATGTTAAATTTCATGGCTATGATTATATACCTGCTACTGAAGTTGTTTGTATTTGTTATAGAATATATTATAAACTTTTGCATACTTTGAATCCTGTGTGCAAAGTTATTGATTTAAAAAATGAGACTATTCTTATAGAAACTAATTTTGGTAAACCTAAAGTGGTTACCAAAAGACCTATTTTGTGGGAAGAGATTGATTTTCCACAAGAGTGGGTTATCGAGGGTGTTACTCAACCTAGAAATAATATTGATACAGAGGTTTCAGAAATTGAACAGTTGAATGATGGAACTGTTAAAATTAGATTTTTTGGTCCTGTTAGTATTGATAACCAGATCATGTCTTCTAGAATCACTAGATCAAACTCTTCTTATATATCTCCTGTTGATTATATCGTGCAGGTTCCTTCTAGAGCATCTACTTCTCAAATTAAGAAAAGGATAGATGTGGTAATATAATAAAATGATAGAGATAATATTGCTAGACCTGTCCCCAGGCGCAGCTCGGATTTAGATATAACTAAATCTGAAATGAATTTTCCAGATGGTTTATCTA